GAAGGTAGGATCGAAGAGTAGATAGGACGACTCCATCCAGCCCGTAGAAGTAGAGCTTCTTTAGGAGCACCTCATGAGACACAGTGTCGAAGGCACGGCTCAGATCGCAGAGAGTAAGTGCAGTTGAGCGATGGTCTTCAAAGGCAGCACTGACTCGTTCTGCCACTGCAGCTACAGCGGCAGCCGTAGATTTTCCACGACGAAAACCAAATTGCAATACACAACGTTTCGGTTAAATCTAAGATCGCTCATCACTGCTGGTCCGAAAATCATCGTATGAATTTTGAAGAGGCAAAAATTGTCCATAAGGAACCTCATTTTTTCAAACGTAAACTCATTGAAGCCTCATACATTAAATTAGCAGACCAACCAATCAGTCAGTCATCGGTTGAAATAAGGCCACATTGGCTACCCATTTTGAACAAGGAACTAAAGGATAGGGAACTTAATTTTTCAATAAATAGGGAAATAACGAGCTCTCCTCAAAATTCGCACGTTATGTTAACTCGTAGTAAAACTCATGATAGGAATAAACATAATTAACACCCATCTTGCGGCATCGTACATCGCTCCGCCATTTTGTTGGTTTTACTTTTCCAGTGACCGGAAGCCATTTCTGTTGTCTCCGTGTTTCCGATTGGTCAGCCATGTTGGTTCAGTCTCATTCTCATTGGTGGAGTCATTGCGTACAGTGCTTTTAGTGTTCCATTGTGTTAGTTTTTTACGTTAAACCTTTTATGATTATAGTGTTTTGTGATTTGTTATTAATTGCATGTTGTATCATGACTTGACTGCTATACAGTGCATATTTTTTGACTACTACCCTCTGTAGTGTATTCCAACTTAGGTTGGGCGTTTGTGTATTGTTAGTTGTAATGTGTTAGTTAAGTTTTTTTCACCTGAAGACGGGATCAGATTCCAGATCCCGAAACGTTGTGTATTGTTTTTTTACATTCGTGATGGAAAATGTCCGCAATAAACCTTTGAACAACATTAACTCACCATCACCAACAATGAACTTTAATTATGAAAGTTTGTTTTTGTTATGATTTATGGTGATAAATTAAAGAAAACGTGTTTTCCATAAGAAATACATTGAAAACGGTGTTTTTCACACTTTTTATTTGGGCGCGACTTTTAGCTGCCATTTTTGAATATTTCCAAGAAGTGCATGGTATCAATTTGTAGGAAACTTTATTCTCTTTCAGAATATTACCTTTCACTTTGGTCGATTTCCTCACCATTTAAAAGTTATTTGCAAAAAAGCTAAGCAACCTCCGAATTTATAGTAATGAGAAAATATTGAGTTTGGGATATTTTTGTTAAACTTTGTACAACTAAATCTAGACTTCCACTGGAACGATTTTGTTAATTAATGGGTCATTAGAAAGCCTAAGCCATGTAGATTTGCAAATAATTATAAAATTGTGATTTTATTAAATACTAGCTGTAACCCGCGGGCTTTGCCCCGTTTAACTTCTTAATTTTCAAGATTATCTCGTTCGCATGGCTCAATCACGTCCTGGTTGAAGTTTGTTCGCTACGCTCACTCACCTTTAGGTTGGAGCTCGTTCGCTGCGCTCACATGCCTTCAGGTTAGCTCGTTCGCTACGCTAACTCGCCTCCAGGTTGAAGTTCGTTCGCTACGCTCACTCACCTTTTGGTTGCAAATTAGCTGTTGTCATAAATGTAAAAGAAATAATAGTGCTGCACCCTGTTGGTAATCCTTGTAACTTTAATGCTATTGAACATCATAGAACAGAACCAACTTGTTTAATTGAAACAGCTGTTAAGATTCAATAATTCCATTTCTCATAAGGTTAACATGGGAAACTCCAGAGCCACTGGGGCGGAGCCCGAAAGGATTTTTGAAATAAGAATATGCCTATATGTTAATCGGGAATGTGAGCTATCATCATGCCAAATTTCAGTCCAATCCGACCAGTATTTTTCGAGTTTACTTTTCCCATACACACATACAGCAACCACCTCTTTTTTTATAATAGTATAGATTTGATATACTGCAATATACTGCAGATGTTTCAGAGAGGTTACTTCGATGTATTCATTCAGCTTAGTGAAAACATAATAGGTCTATCTCAAAATAGATAAGTATACAAATAAGAACTTGAACTCTTAGAGAGCCTTTGGATGTTATTAGACGAACGAAAAGGGTCTATGCAGAAAACATTATTTCTGGTTTTATAAAGTATACAGTACATTGCCGAATATACTGGCAAATAAGAGTATATTTGAATTATATACGCAATCCTCTAAATTATAATATTGCGTACTGGATTAGTGATAAATCACGATCAGCAGTATTGAAGTAAACAAAAATCAGCTGTAAAATGGCTGCTAACGCTATTACTTTACACATTACTTTAATTTACTTTACTTTTGTGTAGAAACAGTTTGTTGTTTGTTTTTGTTTGCTTTTGATGATGTTATTTTCAATAGATTATTTGAATCACTCCATAAGTAAATCACTCTGCTAAAGGCAGCAAACATATACTTGTTTGTGAATAAATACACGGTACTGTCAAACTAAGGTAGATTTAGTTTCGTGATTAACTTGCATAAAAAAGGATTCCCTGATTTGAATGTTAGACATTGCCTTCGTGAAATATAAAAAGGCAAATAAAGGCAAAGAAGGTGTGTTGAGGTATGCTTAGACTAGCAAATGGAGTAATCCAAATGTAATTTTGCATACTGGCTTAAAGATAAATCACGATCAAAACAGTTTTGGAATTTCACTACCGGTATTTTTCCCACCGTTACGGGATCGAGACCTTTAATTTGAGCCCTCTCCGGTCGTTCTACAACTTCCCAGTTGCCCACAATTTTGACGCAAAGAATCGGCTTAAACGTCATTAATATATAGTTGTGTCATAATTTAAAAAATCCGGTACAGCAGTAAAGCAGTATATAAAATTCAGGCTAAAAATCATGAAACAGTCTTGTTCCCCATCCATGGGGCAGGACTAAAATTGAAGTTTAAATTTTGATTTTAAAATAGCCACCTAAGTAATCATTCTCTAATTGTTATGGAATATGCTCAGGTTCATTGTTAATAAGTATGTGCAATATTTGATATAATACTAACATTTGAAGGCTTTACTTTTACTTTCAATATTTTTAATTGTAATTTATAACATTATAGATTCCGTGCTTGCAATTATACAGGTAGTAATAGCGTTTAGTTTTTGAAATCCGAATAGAATTAATAATAAACAAAAAAACAGTATTTTCTACCACTTGTAGCTACGGGCCACCAGTTCTGGTTACGATAGTAATAATTCCCTGTGTTGGGAGGGAAACGCCACCGAGCGTCCTTACTCGATATAATGGGGGCCAAAAGCGACGAATTACCCACCCAGCCGTGGCGCGGGGATTTCTGAAGCGTCCGTCCGGGTGAAACACCATTTTGAGGGTGTCCGCGTCAAACACGTCCGGGCTTAACACGGAGCCGAACTAGACACGTAAAACGAGCTTCGAAAGTTACAATGGAATGAGGGAATAGAAGTCTACTTGTAGTGTTAGTCTATGCTATTGCCATTGGTGGCACCGTAAGACCTTTACCAGGGCCACAACATTTCTTTTATAGAAGTTACAGGTCTTGTGAACTTGTAAGATATGAGATTTAAGAGCAATACTACCACAGATTAAATCACACAGTTTACAGATTTTAACCTTCATTTGATGTATCAAATGTGTAGTGCCAAATCAAGTTACCGTACTTTTGTTGGAGAACGAAACGGAGCAGTGTTGACATGTCGATCGATGTTTAGGAATGAGGTCTTGTGATTGTGTTGTTGTCACCTATATATAGACTCGCAAACTTTTTGGAGAATTGAAAAAAAATATATATACTAGAACTAAAGTATCACAACACTATCGTTACATTGAAAAAAAAAATATTATCTATGTCCAATATGGCCGATCCAAGATGGCGACCAAAAACGTGTTCCATATCAAAATGAAGTACTAACCACCTAATTAATACAGGTGGTGGTCCCAAGTCAATATCTCGAAAAATGTGCATAACAAATGCATGTGAAATATTTGTTTTATTGTCCAAAAGCTGCCATTTTAAATTGTGATTTTAGTGGTTTTCACGTGCACCGATTTTTGGCAACTTCTAGTATGTCATTCTGCAAACCCACCACTACAAAATAAAGCCATAAAGGTTTTCTTGCAATTTTTTTAACGATCCCTATGTAAGTTTTTTTAGTTTTCTTGGACTAAAACAAGACAGATAAAATTAGGGAGGGAAACGTTAGTTCATAGAACAAGTTAAACCACATGATGCGCCACAAAATTGTTATAGTTTTCGCCAATACACCTCTATCCATCTACAAATATTATAATTAAAGACATATATTTATATTTTATAGCAATCATATTTTACCCTCAATATATTTAACAGAGAAATATTCTGAACAAAGAAACACTGACTCCACTACACACTTCACATTGACGGTCGCTACGCTCACTCCAACGCTCACTGCTTTTTTCGGATGAAACATTCTTGCAAGGCACAATTAATTACTTCCACACTTCCGTTCCATTACTTCTTTGTTCTTGCATCACTCACCATCACTTGACAATCTGAATAGACGAAACATGTGTTGTGGGTCTATAACTACTATGTTAAATGCTGACGTGACGTGAAGGTACCTAACCTTGTCTAATCTAAACAGTCGGGGGGCTACATAATGAATTTTAATATTCATTAATATTGTTATGTTATGTAAAAATGGTTAGTTGTATTGCAATCACAATAATATAATTGTTGTCGAGACATCAAGTTGATATAATCAAAGGCTCCTGTTTATGTATCAATGAACCAACCAGTCTTCCTAACGAAGTGTAAAAGGCAAAACAAAGAAGAAGAACTTATCAAATACCGTCGTCAGGTATCATCCGAAACCGAAAGCAGACAGCAAAATAAAGAGATTCCATGTCATGTTTTATCCCGCGACAGAAAATAGTTCTTCAAAATGTTGATTATTCTAGGACTGTAAAAAGGTTTTCTGGTTCAAATGCTAGTAATATGCCTCTAAAACACACTGAATAATTATTTGAACCATTGTTGTATTTTGTTATCCCAGTTTTTTATTTGGAGGATTTTATCTTTCATTGTTTTTCCATCTGTGAAAAATTGGAAATGGAGTTGGAGTGAGTTAGTCAGGACTTGGGGAATGGGGAGAAATTGTCTGGATTCTTGTTCTGGATCCGAATATTAGTCACTGTGATCTATAGAAGTGTCAAGTATCTGTCCTTGTTTGGCTGTTTTTTATGTAAATTTTTAAGAGTTTCAAGATCTTTCTACAGTGTGGTGTTTGGATAATTTTAAATGTAGGGTTAAGTATTGTTTTAACGTGTAAGGAAACATTATATTATACGGATTAGTTTCCGATTGTAATATTAGGTTTTTCCTAACCTTATTTCACTCAGTCAAGGACGAAGTCCTGTTTCATCTTTTTGTTTGGAGTCTTAGTAAAATTTAAACAAATACGAAATGGAAGCCACTGCTAAACATGATTTTAATGCCACAGCTGATGATGAACTGAGCTTTAGGAAAGGACAAGTATTGAAAGTAAGTAAAATTATTACCTAGGGTAAAAATTTTCATGTTAGACTAGCCTACTAGCTTCAACTTGGCTATTTGTTGTTATTCGGTATGCCTACATAGCACTGTGCCAATTGCCAAGCTTAGTTGTTCAAAAGGTAGTATTTCAGCTCGATGAATAGACACTTCCGCAGAGAACCTACGGATAAATAAAGAAATGATATATTTATTAATTTATGTTTTGGCTATGGTTTGTTTTGTTGATTTTCATATAGGCTAGGCTAATAAATTGTGTAAGTTTTTCAGATAGTTTTATCATTGACTAAACTTATTGGATACTAAAGTAGACGTCCCATCTATATGGACCAGCTGTAGCCAATTTTTTGTTAAAAAAGAATGTAGTTGTGTGAGCCAGTCACAGAATGCCCTAGTGACTAAAACTATTTTCTACCTTATTTTTTGTTGCTGGCCAAGTTTATGGGTCATAACAGTTGCTATAGCTCACAATAAGTCATTCCATTAGTTTTAAATGGTAAAAAAGATTGTGTATTTGACATAAATCTGTAATTTAGATCAGAACAATCTGTTGGTGGCTCACATCTTACATCTTACATAACTTACGTCCTCTTCATCGCAGTCGTAGAGACTGGAGAATCGTCATTTACTTCTTTCTCATTTCTTCTTATAATAGCCCTATGTGGTAGTTATGATCTTCATAGAACTCTTTGATGGTGTATGGTCTTTGAAGGAGGTAGTTTTTTAGTGCAGCAGTGAATTTTTTTGTGTTTATTGTTTTGAAATGTTGTGGAAACAGGTTATAGAGCTTTGCTCCCATTGCAGTGGGGGTTTTGTTGGTTTTATTTAGTCTGTTTTGTTTGGTGTTATAGTTCGATTTTGATCTGGTGTTGTGGTTGTGGCATGTTTGTCTGGTTTCAGCCGGATTTTGTTTTATGAAATTGATGGTGTCAAATATGTATTGAGAGGTTAGGGTTAGGATTTGGTGTTTTATGAAAAGGGGCTTGCAGTGTTCAATGTAGTGGGATTGGTCTTTGATCCTGGCTGCTTTCTTTTGAATAATTTGTATTTCTTTCAATAGGGTTTCTCTGGCACTTCCCCATGCAATTAAGCCGAATTTCAGGTGTGAAGCGAAGATTCCATGGTAAGCCATCTTAGTAGTTTCTTCGTTAGTGATTTCCCTGGAGTCTTCTAAGGGCATAGATAGCTGATGAGAGTTTTCGCTGGAGCCTTTCCAAGTGGAGGTGCCAGTTTAGTTGCTGGTCAAGAATGATGCCGAGGAATTTGGTTGTGGGGTTGGCATTTGTTGTGTCTTCTTGAGTTTTAGTTTTGTTTGTTGGGGTGAATTTCAGGCAGACAGTTTTAGATTCGTTGATTCGGAGGTTTAGGCTATTGCAGATTTTTTTTGCTGTGTCTATTGTTTTTTTCTGTTAGATTGGGTGTTGGTATGCCCAGGACTATAATGGTCGTGTCGTCGGCAAACATTATACATGTATTGTCTGTTGGTAGGAGGGTGGGGAAGGTGTCTATGTAGATCAGAAAGAGTAGGGGTCCTAGTACTGAGCCTCGAGGTATGACTTGAGTGATGGTTTGCAGTTTTGATCTGGATTTAGTAATGAAGTTTCCACTTTGGTGTTCAATTTCAATGAGTTGTTGTCTATTGTAGAGGTAGATTTTTATCCAGTCTAGAGCTTTGTTTTGCCATATCAACTATGACGATTTTGTTTAAAAAACTGGCTACAAATTTAACGTGGAGATGGAATGTCTAGTTGTATTAGTAGTCAAAGGTTTTATTTGTTAAATATCAGTAAAAACGTAAGATAAACAAACCAATTTTGAGATCGATGGTTGAATAGAATAAAATTATATAATCTTGTTATATCGAACCAAACAAGTTTCTATTGTTCTATTGTTATTTATCCGATAAAATCGTAGGTTCTCTGGGGAAGTCTACTCGAACAGACCTCTAAGCTTAATTCCCAATAACGTAACTTGCTAGTTATTTACCTAAGTTAGAACTAACTACCGGTATCTAACTTATTGCTCCTATAACTGCATTCTGACCTATCCAATAAGTTAGGCTAGTTCTATGTGTTTGTTGAAAATTCATCTGGGATAATGCATGTAATAATGGGTGTTTTAATTTTCATAATAATTACTTTGAAGTTTGTTTGCATTTACAACTTTCACTCATCAAATTATAACTAACCTGATGTCGCATTTTGTACATAGGCCTATTATACAAAAATTTCATTTTCATTTTTTGTCAGTTGTCGGTTTACAGCATTGCATTTAACTACGGTAACAAAGAACTTTAATTAATTTATCAACCTAATCCGGAATCTGTCCTGAGAAAAGCCAGTAACTTAGGTAACTTAGCTTTTTGATGGTTCGAAACTCGACCCAGCTGTTCCAGATCATTTGGCAAATAAATAAATGATCCTCGCTAATGAAACAGCTGATCTTAGTCAGTAACAAAATAAGCGTCTAGGCAGCCAGTGCAACTCCGAGGATCGTGGATCAGATCGGAAAACCCCCCACCACCGCTCCGTGCCGATGGCGTGACGTCAACTATTACCGCAACGATACGGAACTGTGTCACGAGCCTTGGTGGTGAAGTGGATAGCGTGTCGGGCTGATAATCCGAAGGTGCCGGGTTCAAATCTCGCTGGCAGCACTAACTTTTTGTGAACAATTTTTTTCATGTCCTGTGTATTTTATTGGGTCCCAGTGTCTCCCCAAATCCAAATGTAAATATTTTTTTCCAAGTAAGTAAGAAATTTGTTGCACCTTGAGATATTTTCATGCTGATTCAACTAAAGATTTTTTCAGAGTTTGCAAATGATGAGTGAAATAAAGGCAGTTGGCAGTTGTTCTGTGTTTGCTTTACTATTACATAAGTAGTAATTAAACATTGCCATATCTGCCACTGTAGCATAAAGGTTGCATAATATAGCCTATTTATATTTTAATGTTTAGTATTTCTGAAAATTGCTTGGTAAGGCCCCAACAAATGTTGTTTGGGAGGTTCTGTAGATACCCTGTATCACAATTGACTCATATGAACACTATATTACAGCTTAAAAATATTTTGAAGTATTGTTCTTAAATTCCTTCCTTTAAGGAAGATCTGAAAAGGGAATAACACTAATCTTACCGTAAGACTTTGTCTTACCCAATGGATTTTGTTTAAGTGATAATGCTTGCAACCCTCTAGGTCTTTATTTATTTTATACTAAGCTATCAACATTTCACTAAAAAACACTTTTATTTCCTTGTAGCAGTAAAATTTATGTAAGTACTTGTTAAACTGAATTAGTTAGACTTGATTGGATTTTTATGTTTTTCAAATTAAAGATGAGAGAACGATGAGTGTTGAATGATCAACAAAATGACAGCTTTGACTAAGATCAGCTGTTTTTTTTTGTTTTTTTTTTTAGCCTGGATCAAATCATTCCAAAATACCTTTATGAAAGCAGTTGAATACTATATTTTAATATGCATATGAATTGTTTCAGATATTAAACATGGAAGATGACATGAACTGGTACAGAGCTGAACTGGATGGTAAAGAAGGTCTTATTCCCAGCAACTACATAGAAATGAGAAATCATGAGTAAGTCCTAATAGGCTATCAACACAGATGTACAGGGTGAGGCAGTGAAATGGCACGATTCTGATACCAGCTAACAAGGAATTGGGGGCTATTAGAGTACGGTGAAAATTACCATAGGCTTCTAGACAAGTGGAAATTTCAGTAGCCATGGAGTGTTGGACGAGTGCACAACTTGCGTTTGCTGTAAATGCATATTACAAAAACGTGGATATTATGGTTTTTGCTCAGCGCACTTTCTGTTGTAATTTCAGTCTATCGCTGCGGGCTCCCGTGCCATCAAGGACAGCTATCCTCCTTTGGCTGAATAACTAATAACTTTAACTGAATAAAAAAAGTTGAAACATTCCACTCATGTACTAAGGAGATTTACAGGGTGATTTGTACTCAGTGTGACCAAATTTTTTTGATGTAAGTACAAAGTAAATGAAGTGTGATGATGCATATCAAATGTTCCAAGTCTCAAAATTAGCGTCCCAAAAAATTATTTTATGTTTTTCAAAAATAGCCATGCTTTTAAACTTAATACAGCGATTTCTCAATTACCTGTATATGGATTTGAGTAGATAATGTAATTTTCGTGTTCTACATTAAATTTTGAACAAGAATAATGGAAAATGACGGAGGATCAGTTGTAAAAACTCCATTGTAAATAGATTCAAAGATAAAAATTAAGATATTTGATAAACATTTTAAAAACAATGGTCTATTGTATTTTTCACACCCTGTATACAAGAAAGCGTCGGAATATGTTAAAAACTGCGCCATTTTATAAGCTTTCCAACCATATGCTACAGTTCGGAGAGGGGTACAGCTTACCCCAGACGTCAGTGTCACGTCAGTTGTCATTAGGTGTATCTATTGAGGTTTAGATATTTTTTTGTTTGTTTTAGTGGCTTGAATACCAGAAAACAGGGAACTTTTTTACTGTTTTTACTGTTCAAGCAGAATCAAAAATACAACTTTTGCTTAATACATGCCGACTTTCTATGTTTTAAATGTTAAAGACACCATGCTTTGTAATCTTCAAACCATTAAAGTGTACATAAGCAGACATAAACCTCAATAGTGTAGCATATCGTTGGAAAGCTTATAAAATGGCGCGGTTTTTAACATATTCCGACACTTTCTTGTATACAGGGTGTGAAAAATTAGATAGGTTTTTAAATTTGGTTTATCCAACCGTACTGTGTACTTTATTGCTTTTTATTTGCCACAGTTGGTACTACGGCAGGATCACGAGAGCTGACGCTGAGAAGCTGCTGATGAACAAACACGAAGGAGCTTTCCTAATCAGAGTCAGTGAAAGCAGTCCTGGAGACTTCTCACTCTCAGTCAAGTGAGTTTCACAAGCATTCCATCTTAGTTCCATTCATACAATGTTTTAAAAATGATCACATTAGCTGTACAAATATAGTTGACTGGAGCACATTTCCACGGACTTATACAGAGTGTCCCGGAACTCTCAACCAATATTTTAGGACATTGTCCCTGGGTAAGAAACATATCTAAATGTCATACAGTATTTAAAGTGATAGGAAGTCTATACTCACATAGCCGCCATTTTGTTTTTTTACTTATTAATTGTTTTCTGAAAAGTGGTCAAACATACAAAATTGAATCTTTGCACAACCATTTATTACAACTAGAAAAAGCTACAAAAAAATTATGAAAATTTTCAAAATTCACAAAACAAAATGGCGGTTGTTTAATTTGTTTTAAATAAGATAAATAAATTTATGAAAATATTATTTTTCTTTTGTGAACTGTGAGTCATATGAGCCTATTTTACAATATGAGGGGAAAATTAACAATCATGGGTCTTCTTATAGAAAATAATGTTCTCTTGATATTATCAGTTTTAATATTTAGTCAGTCAAAACAAAGATAACTTGTTTTGTGATTAAACCTTGTGACGGTTACATTATTGGACTCTTCTCATTAAAAATATCACTTTATGGAATTGCGAATGAATGAACTACAACAGAAATTCAGTAGCTTCATAAAGCTGAGTTAATTTAATTATTATTTTTTTCCTTTTAATAGATAGTTTTAATAAGAGAAAGGTGAAGTGTAACAACCAATTAGTAAAAAAAGGATTTCGAATTATTTACAATTGTTTAAGAGTCTTCATCAGTGGTAGCCATCTTGAATCTTAGTCCCATAAGACTAATGTTAACTTGGTGGCGGTATTACGTCTCTTCCGATTGTTGTAAAGATATAATTTTTATGTCAAATTAAAGGTATGGTAGTCCTCTAGCTAATGTATTGCGTAGATTGTTCATTACGAGGCTAAATTTTGAAATATGAATAAATTAGTGAGATATAAATCAAATATTTTTTAACTAAAAACTAAACCATATTTTCAAAAAATAACAAATACATTAGCTAGAAACGTGCCTTATAATCATAATACTAAATTTTGGAATTTTTATTTCCATAAATAACTGTGTAATTTTGTGACAAGTAATTACGTTAACTATACTGATCGGAGCGCAGCAGAGTGGCCAAGCGGGGAAACTCGTGAAGGCGGAGTGATACACTGAAGTCCCGGAGAGAGTGGCGCGAGCCCATATAATTTAAAAACTACAAATTATTGGGTAATCGTTTGCTGTATTACCACTTTTTTATGTATCCGGAACTCTTGGTACTACTTATTAGACGTGATTGATGCTGCTTTAAGCAATCAGATGATTGTGCTTCAAAATACTGTAATGAATATTAATTTTTCTCTCGATTAGGCGGATTGATTTTGAAAGCCACAGGAAGTACTTATGCGAGAATTCTTCCACGTATCTAGTATATGAGTAAATTTAATGATGTAATGTGTTGTGTTGCCTTTGTGAAAACTATGATTTAGTACTGCATTAGTTAGTTCTATTATTTAGTTAGTCTGCGTTAGTTCTGTGATATAGATATAGTATATTTCATAACAAGAGTAGAAAATGAGTCATTCATTACATTTGAGACCATGTTTGAAGTGCAAGATTTATCGAGCACTTTAAATGGTCGAGAATATGTATAGACCCACTTTCAATCGTGTTTTGTTTTGAACGTTACTTTTCGCTACACCACAAAGAATAATCATATTTTTTCATTACAAAACTCATAGCATTTTTTAGGTTATGCCTTCAATTTAAAGTTAATATTTACCTTAGTTGTTGAAAGTTTAAACAGTTGATAAAACAATAACAAATATTTGTTTGTTTACGTCGGCAAAATCTAATAAAAAAGACAGTTAACATTACTTTCGCATAATTAACATTATTTTGCCATAGTAAACAATGTAATGATAGATTTTCGAAGGTGATAAACATGCAACTAAAAAACTGATCTTTTCACAGTAGTGTAGCGAAAAATCTATTGATTGGGCACAATGTTTTTAAAAGCCATCTGTTTCGAATATGGGTAAGTTTAGTAGTGTTGTGTGTTGCCTTTGTGGAGATTATGATTTAGTGTCCCGAAAAGGGTGGCAACAATGTGATCAAACTAAACAACCGCACATTGGGGCTGAAAACTAGAAAGAGCCTCTTCCTAGAAATGCCTAACAAATAAGGAAACTCCTAGTCGTCAGAACCAGCAGTCCCATCCCCTACTGGAACTCAAACGGCTTAGGCCACTATTACACTGTTATTACACTGTTTTTAATATTTTTTATTGGTAGTTGTTTTCAAGTCAAGTCAAGTCAAAATTATTTATTCCATAAAAATAAAAACAATATTACAATACATTTGTAAGTAAAAGGAATTATTCCCCCGAATAGACTATTGATCCGTGATCGGGGGAAGAGTTAACAATATCATCAGTTTTATGGATGATGTTATCATTCTAGCATTCTTATGGTCTTACCGTCTTGTCGCATTATGGTTTTGTTTTAGTTTATTTCGTAGAAAACCCCAAGTAAAGTTGTAGGCCTATATACAATACTAGCTGTGTGCCCGTTCTACGCACGGGGATCTTTATATAGAAGTCAGTTGAAACAATCTTCTACAAAGAACAGCAGTTGGTTTGCATATTTTCAGATATGCTGGCGAAACTATTATATATAAACAAATACAGTATCTGGCAGTTTCAAGTAAAAAAATTCTTTGTAAATATTAGAAGGAAATGTGAAAAAATAACACAATGTTGGGTTTTTGAACGTTTTAAGTTTATTTCCTAAGTAGATAGGCCATGTATTCTAGGTAAAAGTACTGGTATCAAGGATTGTCGTCGAAATTTGGTTATGAATAATTGATTAGTCATACGAACCCAAGAGATGGGCAATTGGTCTATTGGCTGTATGGTCCAGCGATTGCAGTACATAGCGGTGAGAAGACACATTGGAAAAGCGAGTTGAGCATAATCCGTAAACCTCTGTTACAATCATCCACTGCAGTTGTCACTTTACATTTACACTTTACACAGCCGCAATTGAAGTGCCGTCAATGAGTTAAAAACTTTTTTGTAAACTGCTGTTGGTAACGCTAATTAAAAAAAATATAAGTTTCCCAGCCATATACGTTACACTGATTCAAGGTATTTTTCCCGGTTATCAAAACTCAAGAACAATTTTATACACAAAGAATCTCTAATTTCATTTATGGTTACCCTAAAAATTATTGCACTTACGAATAATTAAATTCGTTATGTAAGGAAACACGTTGTTAATTTCACTTGGTTTGGATTTGCTTTCAAAACGTGATTGGAAATGGTTGCGATATTTGTAAACAACATTAAATGTAAACATATCAGTGACAGCTAGAAAAAATAATGTTGATCCGAACAGCTGTTCGTTATTTCATAGATGATTATGTGATAAACATTGGGAGAAAACTTGACAAAAGTCGCACAAAATTGGGTTTTTAAACGTCCTTAATTTTATTTACAAAGTAGTTAGGCCATAGTTTAATAGCTAAAGACACTCTCGCCAATCCATTGAATACATTAAAATGATTTGGATCTTGATAGGTATTCTAGTTGTTCAAGAGAAGGCCGCGTAAAATGGCTCTTTGGCCGTAACAGACAGACAGACAGAAATTGAGATGAGACTTGTTTCGGCTTCTTTAATGTATAAAACGTAAAAATAATTTTATAAAAATTTATGATTCTGATCAATGTACAGACAAAAATCTAATTTTATTTATATAGAAGATAACAATTTGTAAACCAGTTTTACACAAATGTTGGAACTGTTCCATTGTTATAGTGTGTTTAGTCTCTATTCGTTATATTGTTTTATGTTAACTTTTTGTAGGATTTTTGTCGTTACTAAGAATTAAATCATTTTGTTTTTGCTTATTATAATCTTTTAATGCTTTCTGTTCTTTTGTAAGGCCTTATTATACTGTTTTATGTGTTGTTTTAAATTATTTTCATTGAAAAACCAATGCAAACTTAAATTGTATACACAGTATAAAATTATATCATATTTGTAATCCAGTTCATAAATGTTCGAACACTGTTCCATTGTTATGTCGTGTTTATTCTGTATTTGTTGCAACTAGGTGAAACCCGTCGAAATTGACGGTTACTTTCAAGGCTAATTCATCTAACTGCGATAAATTGAGTGAAATTATGCATATTTTGAGCATTTAGCATTGTTTAAAGAGTAATAAGTGTAAAAACAATAATGATATTAATTGCGTTAGTTACCAAATATCAATCATCATAAGATCATTCAATGAATAAAATATTTCCCATATTGTACGTCATCGGAGTTTTTATTAGTATGTTATCTGGTATCTCTTCCTTTGAAAGAACCTTTAAATAGTATTAAAATCGTATTGGTGGATATTTTGTAGTTAAACACTTCCGTGATTTCATCAGTGTAGCCTAATTAATCTATGATTTTATTTGAAAAAAATATCTGTTTGTTGGGATGACATGTTTTAACTTCAAAGGAAGGTATATCAGTTACAGCGTAGGCTAAGTTTGATTTTTCCTTCGTCACGTCGCATATCCATTTGTGCCAATGAATAACCCTCTAGCACAGTTTTGAGAAATTGGTTGTGGGGTTACTGTTAAAGCTGGAATTCCTTGACATAAGGGATGTCAGTTAATTGTCTCAGCCTTATCAATTACATACAGTTGTCAATATATCTCTCTACGGAATGTTAGGTGTAGTGGAATATACTTGAAGTGAAGTTGGCTTTTATTCTTGAACTGTTAGGGGCCTCCTTATTTATATGGGTGTGCGGCTTCATTGGCAAGAAATAATGGAAATGACATAGCAATTTGGCATTTCCAAAAAGCAAAAAAATAAATTGGCTGTTACGTAATTTATTGACGTTTACATGCATTGTTAATCAACGTATCTTATAAAGGATGGTGTGATTTAGTTTAAAAGGAATATGACCTTTCTGTCATGACAGTAGCTGCTTAAATAGTATTTACTAATTGGGCCATTTTTACAGCCAAAATGTTATTTTCAATAATGTTACCAACCCAGTGAGCCACGGTCCGTTATATAGGCCACTGCAAATAATTTGTCAAGATAGGTGCTATTGTTAGGCAAGGTTTCTGTGTTTGGATGTTATTAGATACGGTAAGAGTACAATAAAATTCTTCTCTGCAGATGAATTATCTGTTGGAGAAATATAAGCCGAATCATAATGTCACAATGCGAGTTTGAGCATTGTGGAACTATATGGGTAAGTTACATAGATTTTTTTAGGCTGCTGCTCAGTGTACTTTAAGAATATACATTTTAGAGATAAATTAAATGGTTGTTGTTGCTGAGTAGCGCTAGTAAACATGCACAACCCTTTTTCGTCTAATAACATTCAATGGCTCTCAAAGAGTTCAAGTTCTTATTTGTACACATATCTATATTATGTTTTCACTAAGCTGAATGAATACAACCTCTCTGAAAAGTCTGCAGTATATTGCAGTTTTCCAGCTTAATGACTTTCTAAATCATGCACATATCTCTACATAAATATTGTAAAATGTTTATCCAGTTGCTGTAAACTACTATTAATTTAACAAAATATGGAGACGGCTCAAATGGGCACCGTGCCCTTCTGCACTTATTTTGTATTGTATTACACAATCAAAGATTTTTCCAATGATTGAAAACCTGTATGACAATAATCTCATGAACCTATGATGATCTGTCTAGAATAATATGATAAACTATAGGCAAAAGTGGTGAAAAAGGCAGAAACAAACCAGTAATTCGTAAAATAGATATAAGATAGTTCAATAAGAAATAATTGTAGTTACTGTGATAAAAGGATTTTCCACTGATTTCGTAATGGAACACATTATATTGCAAAACATGACATGTACAGAAGAAAATCAATTTTAAAATCAGAAAATAACATTGGAAATACTTCTTTTGGGCAATTTAGTAACTCCCAATAAATGTGTGTTGTTTAAAATACAATTTTAAAATTAACAACCGTTTCATTAAAAAGTATTATCCACATGGCCAAAACGTAAACAAATCTGTGTTGAGCATTGGCCTACTTTAAAGGCTTCTGGGGCAGAGCCCTTAGCAAATTTCTTAGTTTTTCTTTTGATATCTCATCTACAGACCAAGACCTTTCTTTGGACACCTCTACCAAGTTTCTACGCCCAGCTGTTCTCTCAAAATAATAGTTTAATGTGACTGTGGGCCCAATTTTGTACGAAACACACACTGTTGTATGATCTCGAGTAGCCGACCCAGTGTTAGCAACAAGGGGCCAAACACAAGGAACGTAGCGCCAGCGACGTCCCTTTCACTTTCAGCAATTTTACAACCCTCACCACCCTACACACCCTAAACATGCAAAGAAAGAGAGACAGAAAAACAGCTGTCGAAGTCGATCGGTTCGACCTAGCCTCGGTCGTCAACTCGCTTTCCTTTTCTTCGCCTACAAGCGTTTGAATAGGGGCGCGGGAGAACTACTTGTGTGATGCGGCACGCGTAATACCGGCAAAAACTTTCGGGTAGTTCTACAGAGCGCCACCAGAATTGGGTCGCAGGGTCGCGTTTGAGTTGCCACTTTGCTATTGAAGACTCTTAATAATAGTAAACAAAGTCGGAAAGAGCATTGCATGACTGAATTTTTATTTTTAGAAGTTCAGTCATTCTGGATAAAAGGATCTGATATCTATTAATAAGGGGGTTGGTTTCTATTGGTGGCATTTCTGCAATCCTCGCAAAAATAGTAATTTTTAGACTGCTCCAAATCGGAGCATTGCCGAAGTCTCTTCTGACTCTGCCTAAGTGTCTACTTTATATTCAAAGTTATTTCCCTCGGTTAGACAATAGACAATTGACAAACATATAGTGATTTATTTAAGAAATATATATAAGCGTCAAAATACCAAAAAAATATAAAATTGATTTTGCTTTACAATAAATATTAATGTAGTTTCTTTGGTTTTTCATTATCTTCTTAGGTCAAAAAATTTCTTCGTTAAGTAAACTGGTTGATTTACATGCCAGTACTTAGCTTCCATTTTCAGGTTTTTTCTTGCCATAGGGGTTTCATGTGCAGTGGGAGGGAATTTAGAATTTTGTAGCCAATATACAATAATTTCTCACTGAATGGTGTGGTGTGGAGGATGAGAAGGCCACACTTAGGCCTACCATACACGTTCCGTCGCGGCCTCAGGACTCGGCCTTGAGGCCAGACCTGCATAGTTTGGCCGGAGTTGTCTTCTTCCCACACACACATGTTATTTGCAAACCGGCCAGTGCATAGGAGTCGCGCGGTATCTTTGTTCGAATGTATTTTTTATTTTATTTTTCTCAAAAATGAATAATATTTCTATGTCAACTATTGAAGATCTTGTGGCAATGGCAGTGATAGTGTATGTTATAAAAAAGGGAAAAGAGAAAGAGAAACATTGGCGAAGTCATTGCTTGAAAGGAAAAAAATATTCTCAAATCATGTTAATTTACTAACCAAACTTCAGCCAAACTACAATGATTTCAAGAGTTTGGAAGATCTATTTACGAATGGACGAACTAACTTATCTGGAGTAGTACAGTCCAAACATTGAGGCCGAACTGAACGTGTATGGTAGCCCTTAGTCTCTAGCTCTTCTAGTATGGTGGTAGTGGAAATTTTTATTCATAGAAAGATTCAGTTGATGTATGTATCAAACTAATGTCTGAACACAGTGAACTACGGTATACAGGGTGCCCAGTAAGTAAACGGCAAAACTCCTAGAAATGGTTCTTTAGGTCAAAATAAAGTAGGGAAAGTCAGAATGAAATTAAAAAACAAAATCAATTTTTAACCCTCTATTCTAAACTCAAAATATAAAAACCGCAAGTGTCTCTGGATAGCAACTGGCTGCAAACATTTTAAAGTTTTTGCTATGTGAACAAACAATATGTCCAAACAAATATGGCGGAGCCAGCCGATGACCAAGTGCGCGTCCACACCGTAATATATGACAAACAAATGTTTGTTGAACGGTTTAAAGTTTGTCTGAACTGTTTTAACAAACATGTTTGCCGAAAGCTAAGTTTAGTGTGTACTAGGCTTATATTGTTGTATCTACCTATGCTAGATGTCCCTTTTCCCTTCAGGCCAAAAACCAGTACTCGTATATTCTAGCTGACAACTGATTAAAATTCCTCATCATTCTTTCTTTGTACATTTTGTTTATTGTGTTTTGATGATGGTAAAACACAGAATTATTGAGTGTTGTTGTTACAGATGCAGTGATGTGCAGCACTTCAAGGTCCTGAGGGACGCTCAAGGCAAGTTCTTCCTGTGGGTTGTTAAGTTCAACAGTCTCAACGAGCTAGTAGAGTACCATAGAACAGCCTCCGTGAGCCGGTCACAGGATGTCAAGCTGAGAGATATGGTGCCTGAGGAGGTAAGGCATTCTGTCTTGCTGGTAAACTCCAACTAGCCTATAGATATAGCCGACTAATTGCTTCTAATTGCTTAAAGAAAGAATTTTCAAGGGGAAAAATTCGCTAAAACCCAAAACTACAGTAATATGATGACATCATCGTCTTTCGTGAGAGCAATAAATTTATCGTTATCCTCCATAAATTTTTTTGGATCATGAAGTTTTTGTAGACCACAAGAATAGATTTGTGGTAATGAAAGTTCGGTTTTCATTTTAATTTTTTGTTCTAAGTATTTTCTAAAAACATTATGTCTACTCTTCGGCATTCCAAGAAAATTGTGAATCCCACAAGAATTTTATATTACCATGAAATATCCTGGAAAACTATCAACAATACATGCCTTTCTTATATAGTGATAAAAGTTTTTTCATAAAAACTACCATTATTTAAAGCAAATTGTGAAAATGTTCAAAATTGTTCTACAATATTTCATAGTTTTCCAGATTTCAGCCAAAGTAGGCCAACAACGTTTTACAAAAGAATGGTTATCGCTGAAAGTGTTTGGTTATTATGCAAATAAAAATACTATGAACATTTAAGTAGCCTATTGTTTTCGGTTAAACGAATACAGAATGTAAATTTGAAAGGCATGTACATTTTGAAGATTAAAATTAAAATGTAGTTAGGTATGAAAGGGGAAGTCAAACTAATTTTGCTAATATGAATTTAGCGATACCAGAAACTTCGATGCAATTGTTGGTTTCAAATGAGTTTTTATAGCCATTATTGTGCATTGCATTTTGACCCGGGTTTCGCTGCTAGTATCTTTTATTCCCCTACTGAACTGAACATATAAGGGAAAGATGAAGCTTAAAGGAGGGTTCCGGTAGTGGTACTTTATACAGTATTCAAGAATTTAAATTGAATTCCCCTGTAAAACTCATTGAATTTTTTAAGCCAGATTTATTAGATACAATGATAAATTACCCCAAATTTAGGTAAAAATCCCATCATCTGAATTGTTTGATTCAAAATTGATTCAGATAGTTAGAGCTACTGTATAATTATATATACTGTATGTAATAGAGTGGCTGAAAAGTAACTTGCACCCCCCTTAACTTTTCAACCATTTGAGATATTTGAAATCTGTTTGTGGCAACCTTCTTAAATATGAGGGGCTACAATAATTATGATCAATTTTGAAAATTTTGCCCTTAGGGGTAGTGGTGGTAGGGGGTAGCTCAAAATTTTCAAATGACAAGTATAGTCGAGTTTGGTATCATTTTACAGGTCTTGAGGAAACATAAAAATTGATATAAAGAAAACCAAAATCGGCCAACTAATAACAAAATAGTGCCCTAAAACGTTTCAAATCCAAATAACCATGAGGGTGGCTGAAAATTAGTTTGCACCCCTTTTAACTTTTTAACTATTTGAGATATTTGAAATCAGTTTGCAGCAACTTGTTTGGATATGAAGGGCTACAATAGTTATGGTCAGTTTTGAAAATTTTGCCCTTCGGGGTAGTGGTGGTAGGGGGTAGCTCAAAAATTTCAAATAGCAAGTATAGTCGAGTTTGGTATCATTTTACAGGTCTTGACGAAACATAAAAATTAACATAAAGAAAATATAAATCGGACTGTTAATAACAAAATGGCAACTAAAAATGATTAAGACAATGGTCATTAAAAGTAATTTTGAACTGCCATTTTGTTATTAATGCTCCAATTTCTATTTTCTTTATGTTAATTTTTATGTTTCGTCAAGACATTCAGACTGTCATTTATATGAAACAGTGTACAGGAATTTTAAGACCTGTGTAAGAGCACCGAGTGTGTGTTATTTTGCAGTGTTTGGTGCAAGCGTTGTATGATTTCACACCACAAGAGCCAGGAGAGCTGGAATTCCGTAGAGGAGACGTCATCACCGTCACTGACAGGTACACAACCAAGCCACGTACTTTCTGAAACCATGTCTCATTTAGTGTTAGTAAAGTTATTACGAGTTTAAAGCGTTATCAAAATTAATGTTTCTGGCCCCTGGACTATTTTGTTAAGACGGTAATAAGTTTTACATACATCCGTCAATTAGTTCAATGATTAAGATTACTCAGTAGCGCTTTGCAAAGGCAACATTTTCATGTTTTGTATTTGACTAGGCTAATTGCAAGCTTTGACAATGCACATATTCTCAATGTTATACATATTGAATGTTGTGTGTAATAAATCATGTCTGTGGTTCAGAAATATTCTTTGAACCTTTGTTTGTGTCTCTTTAGGTTATATTTTAGGTCTTTATGCAAGTGCAATCTATTTATTTAAAATTATGTAATGATATTCTTTGCTTCAAAATTGAGAGTGACTGGGAAGTCGTAGAACAACGGTAGAGGGCTCAAATTTAAGGTCTCTACCTCATGACGGTGGGAAAAATAGTAGAATTCCCTAAATTTAAACACAAAGTTAGATATAACGTAAAATGTTCTCCATAAGAATAGCATTAGAAGCCATTTTATAGCTGATTTTTGTTTACTTTTAATATAGGTGATCACGCTATATCTCAAGCCAGTATTCAATACAGTGTTGGTTTACTTCTTAGCCAGTTAACTCTGCAATGCACTGTATACAATATTAAAACCAGGGATAACATTATCTATAGGCCTAGTTAAGACTTTTTGAAAACCAAAACCCCAACCAAAAATTTGTGTCAACTGTCAATTTTGATGGAAAGGAATTTCGTGATTGGTTACGATAACTGGGAAATGGAATCCTAAAAAACCATAAAATAACACTAGGATTGGCCAATAAAACTTTTCATTTTGTATAGTACTTATTTACTTTCCTTAAATTTCAGTTTCATCACGATCGGATGGTTGTTTAGTAACGCGTATAACAAAAACCAAGGCAAACAAACATAGACTTTTTTTCACAAATATACGGTGTACAGGGGATATCCATCTTGACAAATAATTTGATTCTTAAGTTTGTTTAAATATTACAATAAGTTGTTTTACATTTTGAGCCCACATGCCACAAGTACTGTTTAATCTCCTGAGATTACAGGTTTACCAAAAAAAGATCCCCTATCAGTTTACATCATAGATATTATGTGGCGCTAGCACAAAACCCCTAAGAGCACATCTCTTGGTGCTAAGCAAAGTCTTGAAGCTTTTTCGTCAGACAGCAAAAGGAAGCTGAGTTTAAACTTGAAAAGTTCCAGATAAATTTGCATTGGTGAATCAATGTTCAAGTTTGTAAGGTTGTCCCTGTTGTCCAGGTCGGATCAACACTGGTGGCATGGAGAGATCGGAGCCAGGAAGGGTTTGTTCCCAGCAACCTACGTCACGCCGTACCACTCCTAGGCTCAGGTAAGTTGTATCACATCATACACTCCATGCGATACCACTCAAGCTGCGGTTGTTTTGTTGAAGCAAATGCCTTCCATAATTAATGGATCTTGCTATAGGTTTCAGTTTATTTTTTATTGTTCAATGTTGGTCTTTGGAAGATGACTTCGGAACTGATTAAAATACTAGCTGAAGTTTTGGATGGCTTGCAGCACTTTTTTATCTAAAATACTTCAAGCAAAATATATTTTTAATGAGGGGACTCGTGTTTAAATTGGGTATATTATATGGTTAAAGATTCGTCACGGAAGCATAACAAATAATGAAATAATGCAATACCCTTTTATCTTTCAAGGATCACTTCATTGCTGCAAAATTTGACATTAAAGAAAAACCTTGCCACGGAAACAATCATGTTGTTTGTGACTAATAAACACCATGATTATACTGTAGATAGTATTATCTGACTTATATCTGGATTAATACTTAACTTGACCCTTTTTTCAGAACAGTAAATGTTCTTCCTTGTGCACCCTTTTATCTTTCAAAGATTACTTCATTTTAGAGGTGTGCGAGCGGCTTGATCTTCAAGCTAAGCCAAGCCTGGCTTACAAGCTAGCGAGATCAAGCACAAAGTCTCGAAATCGAGCTTGAACCAAGCTTTTACGATCCTGATTATAAAACCAACTTGCGAAGTTTGTGCGATTAAAAGTTTCACACTTTTGCCGTGACCGTAGATTGCGTTGGTAACGTTTCCGAAATCGGGGTAAACGAAGATCATTTCTACATTCCGCAGGAGATATCCAGGATTCTGCAGCGATTGCAGAAGACTATGATAACATTTCTGTGACTGCAAGAGACAACGATAATGTCTACAAACCACAGGAGATGCTCATGATTTTGCCGCGATCGCATGATGATGATAATGTTTCTGTGACCACAGGAGACTACGATAATTTATTGAAACCGCAGGAGATTTCCAGTATTTTGTCACGATCGCAAAAGACTATGATGATGCTTCTGTGATGGTGGGAGATGTCCGAAAAAACTTGAAACTCAAATTTTTTTTTTCAAAAGCTTGGCTTGGGCCAGCTTGATTGAAAATCTCAGTCTTGCACACCTCTACTTCATTTGCAAAAAATCACAAAAAAAACACATTTTGTTTAAGACTGATAAAAACTATGTTGCTGTTTGTATTACTGTATATGACAGATATCTGTTTTAATATTAATACTAAACTTTTTTCCAGAACAGCAAATGTGCTTCCATGTGCTGCATTGTCAGTGATGCCAACAGCGTAACATACGTACTCCAGTACCGCCAACCCGAAAAGTTAATCCACCTAAGTTAAGATGTAACTATTATTTATTCAGGAACGGTACTACTAAATGTATTATTTGTTTTTGTTATTCATAGTTTAATTTAACATATCTGTGCGTTAGAGTAACACAGCAAAATTAAGTTAGAAATCTTATGTGATTATAGATTTTTAATATTTCTGTGAGAAGATTGTAGAATCTGGTAACAGCTTGGAGCGATTAGCTGAGGGTTGAGTTCATTGTAGGTTATATAGGCTGATATAACCGTGAGACCTAAACTAACTTAACCATTGGGTGGCCTCAGCAGAGGAAGGGCCAATAAATAATGTAGTTTGAACAAGTTAAAATTAGGATTTGTACTCAAGAACAGCATTTCATCGGTTATTAGATGATTGGGAAACATGATCATCATTATCAACAATAGCTAAGCAGTTCCGAGCTCTTAGGCCAGTATTTTTCCCTATAAAGGTTCACATTGTGACAAGTCCTACAAAATGGTCAGTGGATTAATCCGAATTTTAAGTTACTTCACTTAACAACCATTCGGTTTTTATAAAATGTTGTTAATTTGTTTGACGGATGCTAAATGAGCTTAAGAAAGATATTTTTGTATTTGATGTATAAAGTGAAAGATCGCCTTTATTTTTGTCCGGTTGGTAAATCTGTTTTATACACTCAAAGTGATAGGGATAGGCCTACAGCTGATTAGCACAACACTGTCCCTTCTTCCGATTGAGAAGGAATCTTTAGATTGTTTGCATTTATTTTGTATTGTGTACATTGTCGTATTTATCTCCTCGCAGCATGGATTATCTGTAATTTACAGTAGATTATTGTCTGTATTTAATAACTGACATTATATTATGATCTATAGTCTACGGTAGATTATAATTGGTAATCTATAATAGAGATTTATTTATATTCTACAATCTACATCTGTAAACAACGTAGTTATAAGCAATAACCCCTTTATTCTACCTGTTACCCGAAACCTTGTTTTTGAATTGTTTGCGATTTATTTCTGCGTTATTGTTTTTTGGTTATGTTTTATTCTCTAGTGTTTTATTTGATCAAGTCGTGTCCTGTGTGCTGATAAGTCTGAAAATGAAACTTAATTTTGACGGTAGAATAGTGACTTGAGTTCAACATCACCACTGCTCAGAGGTTCATTGTTATGAAACCTGGTCCTGGTAGTAATACTGTAATGGTTTACACAAAAATCCTGCACAAATATTCATATTTCTTATGGTTTAATTTATCAAAACACTATTTATAATTTTTACTATACTAGTTTATCATTAAGTAAACAACTTTTTTCTTCTATATTTTAATCAACTTGCAAAAAAACAGTGCTTCCAATTTAATATTCTCACTATCTTTTATTAAATTGTTCATACATTTCCTTGTTTGTGGAATTTAAAAACTACTACTACCAAGTGAGAAAGATGATGCCTTGTTTCATTATTCATATTGGCATTAAGGAAAGTGCCATTTTGAATACGTTTTTAAATAATAAAAAAATGCTCTGTCGTTTTGTCAATGTTAAATACAAGTTGTATTATAAAAGTTTACAATAGAATCTCACACTTGCGCTTTTATTTTTACAAATCGAAGCAGAAAAGAAAGCATAACCTACTCATCTAGTTAGATATAAAATGTATTATTGAGAACAGTTCAAAGCATATTGAATAAGGAACTCGCATACTTAAACATTCTTTTAAAGTATCAATGGTTTTGTTTTTTGACTTTTTTAAAACTGTAAACGGCAGAGCAAATATTTTCAGCTAATTTAAATATTACCTTGCTACTGTAAGACAGATTTGATCAGGTGCTCGAGCAAGTAATCTGTTTAGTTTAAGTCTGATTGGTTCGGCCCATACGTTGTATCAGTTAGTTTAAAGCAGTAACACCACTGTATATAGCTTGTCTGATGTAAATTAGGGTGAATCCTACAGTGTAAAAAGTATGATTTATAATGTAAATATTTCCAGTGTACGCTTTTTATAGATGCAACAGACTTGTATGTGACGTATTTGCAATTTGTCGACTCGAGGCTAGGACGTAAATTTTACACAACTTTAAAATAGTGCTGTATCAACTGTTATTCGATGACATGGTATCAAATTTTTGTTATTCTGTGCTACGTATCTTAACTAATATTTCAGTTTTAATTTTTCTCAAGCAAAATCAGAGTGTTGGTGTAAATTTTAGTGGGAAAGTTAATTTATATATTTTTTTTATCAGTTACTCCGTTCCTACAATTGTAAAATTGTATTATTAGTTTTCCTTGTGTGGTTTAGCCTAATCAAGATTGGCGCTAAAGGAAGGAGATATAACAATGAATAACTTCACTAGTAAAGTTTTTTATGTAGATCTACTTAATCAAAGTGACTGATAATAAATATTGATCAAATGAAAAGATATACATTCAACTTAAAATCTGCTACAGAAAGTGTTTAAATTGTTTTCTTTTACGTTTTCTTGTGAATCGCCATAAATAACTGTTGTCTCGGTGAGTTTGGTTTTTGCCACAGAAGTGTTTATTTTGACTGGTTCAGTACCATAACTTGCTACTATCTTTCATATCTTCATCATATCAGAGCCTATGAGGTGGTGACCTTTGAGAGATGATCACAATCTCTTTACTTAGTTTGAATTATTATAATGCGTTGTTTTTTCTCTCGTATTGGCCCAACCTATTTTAGTATCCCTGGTTATCAGTTTTTCTAACAGAGACATTAGACTATAGGATCTGTGCTGTTTGTGAATGTTTAAGCAATACCAATGGTAAAATATAATGTAAGTGATGTAGTGATCATCTCACAACACCACCACGACCAACCTAACATTGTACATACAGGCATGTGGTTTATATACTGGTCATCATCAATTATATATATACAAGTACCTTGTGTTTCATTTTCCCTGTGGGACAAACCTTGGCGGAGGAAACTATTTATTGTATGTATTACAGTAGACTCTCGCTAATCCGGATCGGCCTTGTCTGGACTCTTGGTAGTCTGAATCGGCAATCATGATTTTTTTAGCGGCACAGTACTGTAGAAGTCCGATATACGGGACCGAGTCTACCTCGGATATTAAAATAATCACATAACATGGCGGTAAAAATTATTACCGGTGGAACTGCATTTGAAGGTTATCAATACTGTGGACCTGGAACAAAATTGAATAAAACGGCTATATACATTACTGTATTTGCTCGACTCTCGATAGACCAAATTTTTCGTAATCCGGACCGGACGTCCGCCACATTAGTCCGGATAAGCGAGAGTCTACCGTAATAGGTAGCATAAATCTTCCCAATGTTTTTTTAAAAGTACCTTAACTGCAAGCTTAAGTAGGTTTAAAGACTGTTTGGTATGTTGCAAACTTTTTTTGTTTACTTACTTTGGTTTGAAATTTGAAATATTCATTTTTTAGGCAGGAAGTTCAGTTGCAGCAATTGAAACATGGACTTTGGAAGTGTAATCAAGCTACCCCTTTAGACTGGCTCGGTTATAGACGAAGTGGTACGATCGATTGTAGCTTCTTGAATATATGTGAATATGTGTTCGCTTCGGAGGTTTTCCGCGTTTCATTCCTAATCTTGAAAATTATCCTTTAAAACGTTTAACACAAAAAGTACCTAATAAACCAAACTAAATATAGTCCAAACTAACCAATATAGTTATAGTCATCCTACACTCATCTCAATGCATACTTGGCTTAAAATCCCTACATTCATATGGTCGCCATTTTAAAGTAAAGTAATAAGCTATTTTTGTTTACACGACAAATCAAATAATGACAATAAATATAACCTGTATCACCTGTTTTTTTGTAACTGCAGCTACAAAAAGGCATTGATGATAGCATGGGCACTTTCAAGTGCTGTTGGACAGAAACTGGATTTTCCCAACCTTGTGACCAACTTCTATGATTTCTCGTGACCTAATAAAATACCCCCATATCAAAGAAAAGAATGAAAAAGTTTGCACGTACAAGCCCTTGTTTTAAAGTATAGGATAGGATAAAAGGCTTATGTACTACATTTATTTAAAAAAATATTAATATTGAACAAAGAAACAAATTATGTTTGAAAGCAGAAAATTAATTTAATTTTGAATTAATGAATATGGACATCTTACATTCCCCAAATCCTGATATATACGTAATCACAATGTCTCTAATAAATTAGGTTACAATTCTCACTATAGAAAAAGTCTTATAGAATTTATTTTTATTTGCAACGCCTGTGCGCAGATGATACTTCTAACTTTGTCTAGGTTTTTTTAAGAAGTAAGGGATGAGTTTGTACAGTAAAAACGTAAACTGAACTGATCAAATTTAGTGGCAGATACCACTACCGGGACACCAACTCATGACATTGCTGACGCTGGTTGGGGCTACCTAAGCCACCAACACACCAAACCTTGTTATTTTCAATTTCTTCTATTAATCAAATGGGAACAGGAATTGTTAAGAATCTTAATATTTGAAAACTGAATTTCAAAAACTCCTTGTAGCAGCATTAACAATAGCTTAGCCCTTGGATGAATTCTCCCAAATACATTTAGATTAAAAATTTAAATTATATCGCATATTTCTGACACACACAGTTAAAAAATAAAAATATGTCTACCTATAATTTTACAGAGTTACCTTGTATATCAAACCCAAGATAAAACATCAACCGTAGAAGGGAATCATACTAATATTATTTTCCACAATTACAACATCTTGTTTTACATCATTTATGAATGATTTAATGAAAACATGAAACTGTTTCAGGCGATAATAAATATTTAGATTTCATTATATGAACTATTTCTAATTAACTCTGTAGTGAATTATAAATATTGAATTTAATTTAATAACCGAGACTGGTGAGGTTGGATCAATACTAGCTCCACACTGTGTCCAAGTCTCTAAGCAGTTGGCTTGTAGCTTATCCAGCATTGTGATACTTTAATACTAAAACTAATAAACTATTTATCTTTTTTAGACTATCATAAATTACCATAATCTTAACTAATTCTTTATTAGATATTACTAGGTACTTGTTGCTCAAAATCGAGCAATATTGTGTAGGCACTAAAAATATAAGATCTAGTTAAATGATAATTTTTTTTGCAACTATGTTTGTGCTTCATTTTACCACATCGGCTACGCAAAAAATCAGTTGTGTTGATAAGTTAGTGTTAGTGTTGATAAGAAATTTAAATATATCAAATTGATAGATTAATGGATTGTGATTAAATGTGAAATGTTTGCGGAACAGCATTAAAGTTTGTGAGGTTTGGACTGGTTCCTCAATGTAGGGCTTAAAACAACGAACTCTGATAATCAAAATAAATTGTTGAATCCATTAAGTTTCTTTTACCCACTACACCAGAAAAATTTACAAATCACTCATCTTTCAGTAGTTTTTCGTAAACATATAATTCTGAAAGTCATTTAGACTTAAAATGTTGTTTTATGTTATTTGATCAGCTGAAAATGTGAATTACATTAATCAAAACAAACGAATATTTACTTCTCAAATCCGAGTGATTTGTTTTTACTTCATCCATGACGACCAAAATACTGTAAAACATAACTTAGTCTGTTTTTTCTACGATAAAAATTTAGTTTGGCTACCACATTTGAACTGTTGACGCAAAGGTATACCTTATATTTTTCTAAGTAAACATTTCAGGGGCTACATTATGAATTCTAATCCTTATCATGATGATCCTTACCATGATATTTAATGGGGGAAACACAAAAGTTGTAATAACTAAAAACAAAAACACATTTTCAAAGAGTTGTTAGCCTCCGGATTACCGTATTATAATTTAAATGGTTTATAATACCTGCATATAGTACAGGAAACGGTTATAGTAGTATGTTTTCTGTGATATAGTAATCCTTTGTTGCTTTCTGGCACCGTGAACCATCTTCAGGCCTCAAGGTAATAATAATAATGTTCCTTGGAAGGTCGTCAACAGAGTTCAATAAATAAAACATATACCCGAGACACGAAAACACGAAACATAAGAAGGTGTCTCTTTATTATAATCGATCAGCTGATTTTCCCTCGCTCTCGATTAGTTCTCCATTTACTCACTAAGCATGCTAGTTTTTTACGGTTTAATTTAATAATTTGAATCAGCTGTATGTTAAAAGTTGTTTAATTCTTTTATTTTGATGTAAAAAAATATATTGAGAAATATTCGTAGGTTTCCTAATAGAATATTTTATTTTATTTTTATGTTTTAAAAAAATTAATTGATAATATACATGGGTTTCCTTTTAGAAGATTTTATTTGATTTTTGATTATCAAAAAAATTTATTGAGAAATAAAATAGTTGTAATAGGCTATTACTAACGTCTGTTATTCTGTGTTGTATATTTTTGCGTCGTGATAAAAGGTATTGTTCATAACTCGTACCGAAAGTTATTTTCCGGCACTTTATCCATTATTCCCATACTCGTCTTCACCTCACAAGTGAAATTGGGGATTCCTGTGTTCGGCTTCACCTCACACAAAAACTTGAGCACGCGCTGGAAAATTCCACTTTTGTGTATTTTTGCGCCGTGATGAAAAGTATTGTTCATAACTCGTACTGAAAGTTATTTTCCGGCACTTTATCCATTATTCCCCTACTCGTCTTCGCCTCGCAAGTGAAATTGGGGATTCCTGTGTGAGTGACTTGAGCACCTGCCGGAAAATTCCACTTTCGGTCCTAGTAATGAAATATACTATTTCCGCTGTGGAATAACGTCTGGATCACTATGAGTATTACAAAGCAATGTTATTGAAAGCAACCCTAGTTACATACATTGGTAATGGTAATATACTGTACTTACTTATTAGAAGAAGAAGAAGAGCCAATTCGGTGGAGGACATGATATGCTTTAAGTATGTAAAAGTACCGTAGTAGTGACATTTAACACGTCAATCATGATTATTTATGTTTGCACTGGGATTCATTTGTCAGATGTCATGTCATATATGTCATACATCAGATACGTCATAAATCGATATACTCACATTAGAGTCTTTAATTGTAAATATGAAAACTGAAATACATTTTTAAAGTGATATGGATAATTATCCTTCAATAATGTCATTCAAAGTATTAGAGTAACATTATTTGACTTAATATTTTAAATACTTATACGCTGGATCTAGAAGCAGGCATATAATCGTCCAGAAACTATTAATTACATAGGTTTGAAGATATATTAAACATTTAACTAGTGGGAGCCACAAAAAAAAATTAAACACTATGTTTAATCAAACAAACGGTATCAGCAATCTGACATATATTTTCTCTCATTCATTTTATTACAGTCAATGTTTCCACCACGTTTCTCTTAAATCTTACAGAGGGCGTTGTGTCTCAGAACCTGAACAATGCTGATGGGACACCAGTGATGTCAGTTGTGAATATGTCAATATGTCAATACATTGTGCAAAGGGTCATCTCAAGAGATGGCATTAGCTTCAGGACAAGAGAGAACTAAAACTAGACAGCTGTCTTACAGGGTTTGGTGAGTAAGCTTTTTACTACCGATTCTACAACATGCGTTTATTATCAGCTGATGATAACAAATTTGTGTCTAAGGACAGCACCAGATTGTTGCAGCCCTTGGTCCTTGGCTAATCCCAGTCTGAATTTACTAAATATTTTTTAGTACAGTAAATATATTTAAGTAAAGAACCTGTGATTAAAATCCCATGACAACCGTTTCAAATTGATTACTTTTATAGAGGTAACAGTTTTGGTTGATTATAGGCACTGTGACAGCATCTATGGGTACCATAGTTGTCCTTGACCTTGGGCTGCACCAAAGGAAGGTGTCATTTGTTGTTGAGAGTGTTGAAAATAGTATTTTCACTACATACTGTGAAATTACC